AAATGGCCAAGCGAGTAAGGAGAAAGCCCCACTTTGATGGGAGCTGGGGGCTGCCAGGAGGAAGGTGTGTGGAGCTCTGGTCGTTGTGGCTGGAGCCTGGCCAGGATGGTGTAAATTTAGCCGAGGACAGAATTTCTTCTCCCTGCCCCCAACCCCATCTCTGCTCTGTGCTGGTCTCTCCTCACTCATCCTCCCATCGTTTCTGCTCCTTGCTTGTTGCATTTGCAGCTGCCTCTACCCACCACATTGAGCTCTGTGTGGCTGATTTCTGCCCATCACCGCTGCCAGGTCCTGAGCGCTGGGTGTTTTTCTTAAATGGGTGTATTGCTTCCAGCTCCCATGACTGTGCGATAGCACAGCATTGCGTCTGCCTTCAATTAGGGACGTTGGTGAAGTGCGGCTCCTTGTTCCTTGTTCCCTAGGCTGGCGCTGTGGAGTACAGCCTGGGGGTTCGCCCCCATCTGCCCTTGCAAGGCTGATGGGCTGGTCTTGGGGAGCGTTTCTATGCTCCGGCCAGCTGCCCAGTGGTAAATTTCACCTTCTGTGAGTTTACATCTAAATGCATGAAATAATGTGATTTCTCTCCTCAGAGCCCATCTTCAGCACTGCAGGCTAGAAATCCCCTCTAACAAAGGGAAAAGTAGGATATTGCTTCATTGCTGCTAGTGCACCGCCACAGCTCTTTCCACACATGCTGTGTCCCCTGCCCAGAGCAGCCCTCGACGCTGTGCTTGCCCCGAGCCAGCTTTTACAAGCCAAAGGAGAGGGATGTTGCAGAAGGATGGGCATGTGGTTTGGCTTTGCCCTGGCTCCATTGTTAGTAAGCAAGTGCTCAATACAGCAGCAAGGTGGAGGGGCTTGGCTGTGCCAGACAGCACTTGTTGATTATTTTTTTGTCTTTCTCTTTTGCTGTCACAGTTTGACAAAGAAGGGCTGGCCTGTGAGGGGGGGTTGGCTTGGTGCACCCCAAGCCTGCCTTTCTCTTGCTGAGTGATTGGTGGGTTGGGGCCGAGCAGAGCTCTGCTCTGACAGTCAGAGACCTGGATTCTGCTACGAGCTTCACCCCTGAGCTGCTGCTGCTGCTACCGCCTGCCTGGAGAGGAGGTTAGAGGAACCCATGGCCCACAAGCCAGTGGAAGAAAACACTTTGGTTTTGCTCTAGACCTTGAAAGGGCAAAGATGTGCATTTCCCTGCTGAGCTCTGCTGTACACCACATGTGAGATGTCCTGTGTGCTATTTTTCCTCTTTTAAGGGTGTCATACATCAGATTTCTTGTTGAAGGAGCAGGCCAGGGTTTATGCTGGGCATTTCCAGGGGCTGCGTGGAAAGGGAGGGGGGCAATCAGGAAGGACAGGGGCAAAATAAGGTTGGCTTGGCTGTCTTTGGGAAGTTTGCACATGGACCAACCTGAGGCAATGGCTCTGGGTGTGTCATGTGGCACATCTGAGGGACACAAACGTGTCCTCTTCTTGGCCCGTCATTTCTGGTTTGGTGACTCTGGGTAGGAGAGGAGCCAAGATGAGCATCTGTAGGAGAGGCAGAGGAGGCTGAGTAAGGGACCGGTTGAACCTCCTTCAGCATTTTGAAAGCCATAGCGTTGGCCATGCAGTCTTAAGATGCTCTCTATATCCAAGACCTACA